CAAGCTTCTCGCAAAAACTGGCGCCCGGCGCCCCTCTTTTAGCTGGACGAGCGTCCTCTCTTGCGTCCACAGGGCGAGCGTTCTCTTCTCGCTGGATGAGCGTCCTCTCGTGCGTCTTCGCTGGACGAGCGTCCACTTCTGCTTGCAAGACGAGCGTCCACTGCGCGTCTTTGCTGGACGAGCGTCCTCTTCTGCTCGCTTGACGAGCGTCCACTGCTCGCTCAGAGCGCAGAGTGCTTCTTGCTACACAATCAAGCTGGTAATCGATTACTGAAATGTCGTAATCGATTACCAGTACGTTTTCTGCCTGGTCACCATTTCAACACTCTGTAATCGATTACCGTTACGTTGTAATCGATTACCGTCGTCAGAAGTCGTTTTTGGGGTGCACGACTTCAACACTGTTTATATCAACAGTGTGAAGTCGTGCAGGGGGGCACGACTTCTTCAATTGAAGTCGTTTGGGCCCCCCACGACTTCCCCATTTTCGTAATATGGTTTGAATTTGCCCATTTTGGTAATATTAGAGGCATATTTGCCTACTTTGGTGCAAAAGCCCACTTTCTGCTATTCAATTCCCATTATTCACAACAATATAGTGTATTCGGTTCCCAAGCTTCGTATTTGATTTCATGTGAGTTTGGCCTGGCGTTGGTATTTGGTTCCCTTGGAGCATTTCGTTCCAAGCTTTGTGGTGGAGGTGCAGGCGCCATGTTCGACCAAGCTAGAGGTTTCTTTGGTGGTGGACGCTGGACTATATGCACTTGGTTCACCATGTTCTACGTGTCTATTCAGTTCTTGGGTGTTATTGGGTTCCCTAGAGCTGCATTTGTTCCCCTCCCTCACATTGATTCGGTTCTAAAGTCCTGTAAAGATTTTTTTGTTGCTTTCATGCCTGGGATGATGTGTTTGGAAGCTTGTTGGTGTCGTTGTGAAGTGTGAGGAAGGACATCCATGAATGTGTACATGTAGCAACAATAACCCCATAATGCATATAGAACAAAGGGAGTTCAAGGATTTGGTTTTAATGGCAACAACCTAACCTTTGTATGTGTTGCAGGTTTTTGGGAATGAGAAGGTCTTTTTGGTAACTACTTTGTTGGAGCTGTTGTGAGGGATAACTACGTTGTCCAGGTTAGGACAACATGTTTTCTCCATTTCCTTCTTATGGTTATTGTTGAAGACAACTTTCGTCTTCCATGTATTTTATATTTTATGGATGTTTTTTACTTGTAATGCAAATAAATGATTTCTCATTGTGTAGCTTACTATGCATGAACTTGATCTTATAGTATCATATTAGAGCATCTTTGTTTGAGGTCAAAAGCTTGTTGGTGTATGTTATAAATTATCATGTATTACGTCGTGAAGCTTCCTAACTTGGTGTATTGAGGCATTATCTGGAATTGATTGAAGAGTCATTCTCTGGAAGGATTTGAAGGTAGATGTTTAACGAAGTTTATCCTTTTGTTGAAGCATTCTATGATCTAATATTTTCATGTAGTTTGTTTAACAGGTTTGGTTTGGTATTATCACTCTTGTATTTCAAAATTGACATTTGAAATTACCATCTAAATTTTATTTGTGACCGTGAGTGGGCATTGCATTGGGTCAATCTTGGTTCAAATCTTCAAAAGTCTTGAATATGTATGTTTTATATTATGTTTTCTTTAATTAATATGCATGAATTAATATATTTATTGATTATATATCAATATATGAATATATATATATATATATATATATATATATATATATATATATATATATATATATATATATATATATATATATATATATATATGCATTACTATATATATATATGTGTGTGTGTGAATGTATATATGAATATATCAAAGCATGATTATATGAATGTTGTATGAATATATTAATATAGTCTGCTTAATTATTATATGAATGCATGAATTTGATAATATGAATGCATGAATTTAACTATAATGTTTATTTTAGTTGGATGTATAAAATTGTTAAAATGTATATATTTTGTTAAGTAAATATAGATGGAAGAATAATTAGATCTCTTATATTTGGACGATGAAGATATAGATGATGATGTGGTTGGTGTAGACTTCAATATAGTCGCTATGTTACATCAACAATTACAAATAACCACCTCATTGGCTGCACTAACAATGTTATGCATTGTTGGACATGCGTTGGATATTTTAAATATGTACTCAAGTGATTTGAGTAGTGTAAGAAATTTCCTACCGGACAAAGACCATCGTAGGGATCAGTTAATGTCGTACCTTGTGCATACTAATCGGTGTCGCGACATCATTAGGATAGGTCCAGAGACATTTATTAATCTATGTGAGAGACTAAGAACAACTAGATTAGTTAAGGACGTCATTCAGTCGACAGTGGAGAAACAAGTTATTCTATTACATGACTTATTTACTTACATTGACTTATGTATTTGATTTCTTACATTACCTGTATTTCAATTCCATTTGCTTTCACATCAGTTATCATACTTTTATTTATTGTCAACTTAATGAACTGCAAATCAAATGGATTCTCGAATCATTGATGAATTGGAAAAGGGAGTTACTGAAAGAAGAAGACTATGTGCAATTCTTGAACGACAAATACATGCCACAGAGCATTGAAATGCGCTGTTAACGGCCATGACTCTTTCATCTAATCCAACTTCAGAAGAAATTCATAACTTATTACGGATTATGAACATTCAAGATGATAATTTATTCAGACAATGCTTCGACTTTCTATCTTTACATCCATCCCATACAAGTCGTCTAATAAGTATGTCAATACATTATCATTTTAATCGATTGATTAAATACCTCACCGAAGCAACTTCATAAACTATGACAAATATATTTGTATTTTGTTATGTTCACACTTTTTTTATGTTATGTAATATTTTAACTTTGTTTAATTATTTGTTTCTTCAAAAAATATTCAATTTCACTTCGATAACAAATAAAATCTTACCACTTGTTAGTAAATTATATTACAAAAACATTGCATTTAAAAATAAATTTATTTTACTAAATTACAATTTTTTTTACATTTTTAAAATTAATTTTAATAATTAATGTTCATTTTTTACTCTTTATAAACAATTTTACAATTAAATATAACATTAACAATTATCATTTCATATTATTTTAATAACTAGGGGCATTTTGGTAATCTTTTATTTCTATTAATTTAAACAATTTTTTTTATCTGTCATATCAATCAAATTCTATACTAATTCTCATAAACTTTACTTTCAAATCTTCTATCAATTATCTCCAAATCCACTTAAATAAACAACAATTAATTCACCCTCAACTCTTCTTAAATTTATCCAAATTCTCTCTCTCAAATCCTTCCTCCAAATAAACCCATCCTAAAACAGGAAAACAAATCTTAGAAATATGACTGAATTTTATATAATAATTATTGTCAACGGTAGTTTAAAGTATTAAATCAGATAATAATGTCTGATAATTCTGAGACAAACATTAGAGTTAGTATAGTCAAGAATTTTAGTATAAATTTAAAGTTTGATGTTGAATAAAAATGAAAAGATGTGAAAAATAAAAAAAAAGAAAAATTTATAAATGTTATATCTTAAAATTTTATATTAAAAGGGATGTTAACTCTTATTTTAGTGGAGGTTAATCTTTAATTACCCGAGAGAAATTTATATCGTATAAAAATAAGAAAGTTGAATTATATATGTAAGAAAAATATACATATAAGCACTTGAATCTTAAAGTCTTTTATAAGGTGACGTAAAATCTTTTGTGGAGAACTCTTTCCTCAGTAACAGTTTTAGAAGTAAGGATCAATCTTTAACTTTAAAAGCTGATTATGAAAGCCTGAATTAAAAATTATTCCAAATTGATCCAAAACACATCAAAAGATCATATCAATGACACTCAAGCTACATAAGATGAAAAGTATATTATATTACACACATCACAGAGTGAGGTGATGAAGAAAAGACAGGTTGATTTGTTTTGAAAATGGGATCATGATTCACTTCTTAGGATACCTTAGCAACCTCAGTCATTTGAGCCTTACCGACAATAACATTGTATAGGACTTGCAGAATGCCCAATTCACTTCAATAATTCAATAAAACAACCAAGTAATGGACACGAAACAAGACAAAATCTATGACCCAGTTTTCCTTTTAATCTGAACCAATTAGGCTGGAAACCACTACATATATCCACTGTCAACTTGTCATTTGATTTTATTATTCCTTTTCTTCTTCTGTTTCTTTTTCTACCACTTTTTTCTTTCTCTTCTTAAAGTAATCTTATCTTAATTATCATCAACTACTTTCTAATCTCATATAGTGTTTAGTAGTTTTGATTCAAAGCAAGGAACCAAGAGTTCCATCCATTCAAAATTGCTTACCAGGATTTTGTTTATTCTCTCTCAGATTAATCTTGTTCATATCTAACAAGAAGGCCCCATCCCAAAAAGTTAATTTCCTTTGTAATCACATGTCCCATAAGTCAAAACTGCCCTTTTCAAAGCTGAATAAAAACAAAAACAACAACTTTTTGTGATTTTGAAAGTAAACATACACCACTAATATTTTACTGCTGTAACAACCTTTTTCTCTTCCTTGCAGTAAAATTAACTACAATGCCGTCTTGTGACCCTAGCTTGTTTGGTTAGGGCACTTCCTTGGAAGTTTCTCCTGCTCTTTCTGGTCCTCAATTTAGATTTTCAAGATTCTGCTTTAGTGGCTTCTATTTGCCAATTCGCTGCAGGATCTGATAAAAAACAATGATCATTAATAAGCAAGAACAGTAACAAGGGTAAGTGAGAAAAAAAAAATCTAAGTTATTATTTATCATAGTCCTAGTCTTTAACAACCACTAAGCAAAGTAACCATGGTTTTCAGAAGCATACAAAAACATCCAACTGTACCATTATCACCCTCTCTTCCACTCAATCAGATATGCACATGATCAGGCCTCACAATTTGCCTTTAAATTGGTCCACCTCTCTTCTCTTTCCCATTGTGATTCACTCAAACCAAACTACACTCTGCAGAAGTTTTCTTCATTTTCAACCTTGCAATGGCTTCCAACAAGCTTATTGCCACCATCTTGGTGCTTTCTCTCCTTGCCTACTCCACATCAACCTATGCATGTGGCACATGCCATCCCAAATCTCCTCCTCCTCCTCCTCCTCCGTCCGGGAAGTGCCCTAAGGACACACTGAAGCTAGGGGCTTGTGCTGACATTCTAGGACTTGTTAATGTTGTTGTTGGCTCGCCTGTCTCTAGCAAGTGTTGTTCATTGCTTGAGGGTTTGGCTGATCTAGAGGCTGCACTTTGCCTCTGCACTGCCATCAAAGCCAATCTGCTTGGAATCAACTTGAATATCCCTATCACACTCAGTGTGCTCCTCAGTGCATGCCAGAAAAATGTTCCTTCTGGCTTCCAATGTCCATAGAATTCATCATGCTAGGTTCATCTCATCACTTGTGTCCTCAAATTCCTGTCTTCTTACAGTTCTTCTTTTTGTGCAATGTGTGATTTTAATAATTTGGCAAACACATGTTTGTCTTAGTAAGTAACCTTTGATCTTTGTTGGTATATTTGGGGAACTTTGGTTGTTTTTCGGGTATGTTGGAGGTAGAGAGGGGTTTGATTTGTTAAACCAGATCTTAATGACCAATATGCACAATTTATTTGTACTTCACAATCAATCAAGTGTCTATTATCAATTTATGTAAGTGCAGTATTGTCTATTATTTTTCTCTAAATTCCTGTTATTATTCCTCATAATATGCTAAATCATTTAAAAAGTATAATATTTTGTTATAAATATATTCCTAACAAAAACAAAAAATCTTATGTTATTTTTTTAACTTAGGCTAATGATTAGCCAAACAGTTCTGCACTTTTTTTCTCCTGTCTGTTGAAAAGAGTAGTGCTTTCATGATGTTGACAATTTTTGTTTAATTTTTTTTCTCTAGAAGCATCTTAGTACGTAAAACTACGTGCCCAAAATATTGAGAAAAAAAAATAAAACTTTATTTCCAAAAATATGTTGGAAAACATGAATATATCTCTCCAACATTTTTTTATCATCATAATTTTGACAACAAATAGAGGAAATATAAGGAGAGAAATATGTGATCAGATAAATATACGTGGGGACGAACTAAAATGGATTATGAACAAGTATTCTTAAATAATGAACAAATATATTCATACCTTGTAAAAGAGATAGTAAATTATGATCAAGAACTCGAATTTTGGTAATATTATTTTGGGTATGAAATAGATTACAATGGCATGGTGAATATTATTTTGTTTGTTTTATAAAGGTTTTTAATATCCACCATAAATAATCCCTAAGTTAAAAAAATAGTGTACATAATAAATGTGTCAGCATAATGGTTGGGTTACACAGTCCTGTGGATTGGTGATTTGGCACGTGAATCTAAGAAAATAAAAGCTAAATAAATAAACGAATTATAAAAGAAATATAAAAAAATAAAAAGGACAATTAACAAATGTCAAATAGCTAGTCTCTCCAATTATCACCAAATATTAAATATAATTATTGGAATTAATTATTCTTCAATTTCATTTTATATGTGATTTTAAAATAAGAAAAATTATATTTGTGTAAATATTTATTTAAATTAATTTTAAAATAAAATTGTAATTATTGAATGTAAATGAAATGCAGAGAGTAGAAAATTTAATTAATCCCTCAATTTCATTTTATATTTGATTTTAAAATAAGAAAAAATATATTTGTGTAAATATTTATTTAAATTAATATTAAAATAAAATTTTAATTATTGAAAGTAAATGAAATGTAGAGAATATAAAACTTAATTAAATTTAAGTATCTAATAAAAATTACAAAATTATAAAATTATAAAATTATAAAATTATAAAATTATAAAATTATAAAATTATAAAATTATAAAATTATAAAATTATAAAATTATAAAATTATAAAATTATAAAATTATAAAATTATAAAATTA